GTCAATAGTAAACAATTATAAATTAAATACTCTATTAATTATGTTAATATTTAAATTAATGCAGTAATTGAGTATGTTATAAAAAATCATTTTCTACGACAATACGAAACAAGTACAAATCAAATACTGCGTTAATGTTTAAATAAACACAGTAAATAATAACAATTAACTGCATCTAATAATATAGTAACGCAGTATTCTAGTTAAGGAAAAAATTAATACTCATTTTTAAAAAATTTCAAATAAAATTATCACAATTATTGTGTTTGTTTCCAACAAATTCAACATTTGATGTTTTAAAAAAAGAACAAAAAAATAATCATACGTTGATTTCCAAAAAGATAGAAAAGATATAAATCATTTTTTATTCATGTCAAATATAGGTTAAAAGTAATTTTTCTTTTGAAATCTTAAAATGCCACATGAGGAGGTAGGTTTTTGATTTTTGAATTTTTGGTAATATTGAAAATCTAAGATTACTCCTAAGAATATGATATGTCTAACCAAACGTGAGAATTTGAATACCTAACAACAACATTTGGGGGGAAAAATCTCAAATTTCCCTAACTAACCACCCCTAAATGCAATTAGTGCAAAAAATGTGACTGCGAAGTTAACATAACAATTGATTACAATACTTCTACTAATGTTTTAAGAAATATCTTCACTTATTCACAATAATAAAAAAAATTATCTATCAAAAGTCGAAGTTTCAAATTAATAGCTAATAAAAAAAATTAAAAGCAATTAAATTAGCTAGGCAAACTTAGTTGATAGGTTGTTTATATGAATAAAATGGGAGATGAGCATTAATGGCAAGTAAAGCAAATGCTGACAATATGTAAATGAATAAAGTTTTAAGCAAAATGTACTTGAATTAATCATAGTGAGAATAAAAAATCACGATTTTTTTAGAAAAAAATTGGCAAAATGGAGAAAAAATCATGAAAAAAATTATAAATGTACTCAAATCATAAAAATGTGCATCGAACAATAAAGTATTATTTATTAAAGTTAATGGGCTAAAAAAATTATAGCTATTCATGGGTCGGGTTTGAGCTGGGCTTAGTATGATATTCTAGCATTTTAAGCAAGTCTAGGCCCAGCCTGACCCAATTTTTTGGGCTTCATTTTTTATCCAAGCTTGTTCTTACATGTAATAATAAAACCCAAGCCCACCCAAAGCACTAATATTTAAAATTAAAAAAAATAATTTTTTAAATTTTTTTGTAAACTATTAATTTAAGTAATTTAATTAATTTTAATTGAATTTATAAATCATTTAGGCTTCGATCTAATTTAAGTATGTTGAATGCAATTTAAAATTGAATCATTGTTTTAATTTAAAATTGGGTTTTATCCTATTATAAGTAAAAAAGTAAATGGGCTTTGTCCATTATAAAAAATAAAGCAAATGAACCTTATCTTAATATAATAAAAATATTTTTTTAATTTTCAAGCTAGGCCCATATCTTAAATGATGAAACCTAAGCCCAATCTTATTTTTTGATCGATTCTCATTTATTTGTCTAGATCTTTTTAACAGGCTTAATATTAATGTCCAAACCTTTTAAAATTTCGAGCTAACTTTTGAGTTTAGATGTACAACCTGGCCCATGAACAAGTTTAACAAATATGCCTAAGTTCTAATATTACTTACTTCCATTTTGGTAAAGGTGAGTGAACTCTATACAATAGTGTCGTTCAACATTTTTTTATTATTAACATATGATTTATTGAGAATAATGAAAAAAGAAAAACTAAGCTCCAAATATCATGAATTGTCTCAAAGCGAGGTTGAGTCAAAATATATAGTAATCATTAATCTAACTTCAAAGGCTAATCACTAATATAACTTCTAAAGTTAAGGATATATCTTTTTCAAGATTACAACAAATAATCAAAATTTTATTACTAATAATCAACTAGGGAATTAATCCACTACTTTGATAGTTATAAATCACAATAAGATGAAAATGGCCCTCCCAAATCTTAAGTACTAATAATTGAGGTCAACAATTGTTTTGCAAGCCATGCACAATGCCATCACCTATCACAAAATGATTGAATAATATATTTATGTATAATACACAATAACATTTTAAATTAATAGTTAATTAATTTCTTATTGTAGTAAATATTATGACGTGTAGGTCTAAAAATTTGATTGTCGAACTTAGAGAATGAAAAAGAAAAAGTTTAAGAAATATTTTCAATAAAAATCAAAATAATGAGTTATCGTTAAGTTTTTTAGAGTGCAATAATACAAAGAAGAAAAAGATGATACAAAGAAACAAAGAGTACCAAAACAAATAAATTATAACCAAATAAGGGATAATTCAGTTATACTAAAATCAATTCGAAAGCTGAAAGTATTAAACCAAAGACCTAAAAAAAAGATAAAAAAATTCCTGGGTCAACTAATGTTGTTCATGAATAAAAGAAATAATTTAGCTGTGGGCCCTACTTCCTATAAATAGTTATAAACAAATAAAAGTTTTAAAATAAAAAATATTTTAACCTAATAAAGAAAACATTTTGAAAACTACATCTTTTTTATTATTTTAATTTAGTCAACCTGCTTGACATTGTGACCAGAAAAAAGAGAATAAATATTTTGTAGTGTTTTAAGTACATTTCATTTACTTAAAAAAAAAAAAGTAAAAAATTAATATTTTTATATACAAAATTAGATTTATCAATTCATAGATTTTGTTTTATGTCAAAAAAACGTTTTCTGATTTTACCTTTTTTATGGTACCATTATCATTAGTACTATTTTAATTAATCCAAAGGTTTAAATTTTAATATGTGTTAAGAAGCCAAAAATTTAAATAAGAACGTAAATGAATCAAATAATTTATGAGTTATTTGGAGTCGATTCAAAAAAAATTTCGACCTCGATTCGTTCATTGTAAAGCTAAATTCAAGCTGGGGTTACTTGAGTAATTAACAAATTTAATCTAATTTGAATAGTTAAATACCTAACTTTAAAAGTTCATAAATTTAAGTTTAATTGAATTTTTTTTTAATATATCAAATATATATATATATAGACACACATACGAGTAAATGATAAAAATATCGATATTTATATATAAATATATTAAGAATTATCGAGTCTATCCAATTAAACTTAAATAATTTAGTTAAATTAATTACGAGTTGAGTTTGATTAAAAATTAATGACGTTCGATCAAATTCTTATCAAGCTTCAAGTCTTAAATTTTTGAATCGAATCGAGCTTAATTTTAACAATGAATTAACTTGATTTAATTCGATTACATTCGAAATCTTAAATGGTTTAAATTTTATTTTTTTTATATTTTTAAACTATTTTATATAAATGTTATGGAAATTAAATCAATGTTTCTCTCACTATAATAAATAAATAAATAAATGTTTCTCTCAAGGGCTCGTTTGCAAAGGTCCTTTTCATGAACCCAAAGCACCAATTATTTCAAAGTCATGGAAGTGGTTAGGAGTTTGTGAATAGATTAAAATTCAGATATTTAATGTTAAAATTGATTTAACACAAAATACAAGATAAGACCATCAATTCAAATTTAAATTATTGATTTAAGTTAAAGTCTCATAGAATATGAATTTGATTCAATTATATTTTAAAGCTAAGATCATACGACATCAATTTTCATTAAAATAATAGAATAATTAAATATTTAATGATAGTCCCAAGAGAATTTTGTTGGAATAACTAAGGATTTATGTCTCAATAGCTATCACCGTTATGTTCCAACTAGCAAAGGCCCGCGTTTCGCTGCGGGAAATAAGGGTTTTATTTGGTTTTGATTTAAAAAGTTTATTAATCAATAAATATAGTTAATATATGAGTATAATATAATCGAGAATATATATATATATATAATAAATAAGTGTAATAATAGTTTAAACTTAATAGGATTTAATTCGATTTTTTTTGTATAATGTATAATATTATGAATTTTTAAAATTAAATTTGAATCTAAATTAAATTTTTTTTTAAATCGATTTGATTTAAATTAAATTTTATCAGTTCGATTAGGTTCATTAGTTTTTAAATTTAATTTTTTTAATATTATCTTAATATAATTTTTAATATATTTAAATTGATTTATATATAAAATTAATTATTTTTATTTTATAAAAATTTAAATTAAGAATAAAAATTTATAAAAATATATAAATTAATTTGATTCGATTTTTTTTTTGTTTTTCACGTGCGGATCCAAAATACTATTCAAACTTAAAATAAAATATTTGATATTTGAATTTAATCTGAGTAGAATAACAAAAAAAACAAATTCGAACCAAACTAATTATTATGATTTCGAATTAATTTTTAATTTTTTAATTTTTTTCTCACCCTAATAATAATAATATATATATATATATACAATAAAAATAATAAAATGTAACCATGTTTATCAATAAAAAAAATACTAAATGCAATTGAAATAAAAAATGTGATTAAGAAGCCAATGTAACAATTGGCTACAATACTTCTCCTTGTGTTAAAAAAAAAAAATTTAAACTCATTCAATCAAAAACAAAAATTATATAAACGCTTATTAACCAAATTTTAAAATGATGTAAACCCAAACGACCCAAAGGTGTTACTGAAATAATCCAGAATTAAATTAATTTATTTCAAAATTCACTAATTTAGATTCAAAATGGCACAAATTTAAATAATTTAAATGTCAAATCCAAAAAACATAAATCCAAAATAATTTAAACTTAAATAATTCAAACTCAAACTATCAAAAAAAAAAATTTTGACTTGAAAATGATCGATTCAAAGGCAATCCAGCTCGTCCGATTCGCACATTTACCTGGAGTTTCGCTAGTTTGAAATATCCTACTTGTAAAAAAATAAATAAATAAATAAAAATGACCTAATTGTAGAATAAAAATTTTAATTTACCCCGTTTTAGGATAAACAGAAATGGGTCAGAGAGAGACAAATGGCAGTATTTGGTTCACGAACACACATGGCGGCGTGGCACGTAGTTTCAATGGGAAAACAAAAAAAAAACAGAAGGCTGTCCCAATAAAATCCACATGTCCAACGTGTCCCTGCGAAATCTATGTATCCTTCGTCAACAATTGTTCCAACTCTTTGGATTAAAAAACAGGTCAATCAAAGGCGTGACAGTTTCCACTTTCCACCATTTTTTTAAGTTATCCATTGATTGAGGAAGACGAAAAGTAGTAGCAGTGTTAGCCATGAGTCTTGTTGTTTCAGCTGGGGGTCACTCGTTCTGTTTCCAGGCCTGTAAAGGGTTTTCAATTCCGAAACCAAAGGGGTACAAATTGGGTCCTCGAGCTGCTTTGGTAGAAGCCAGGCCCAGAGTCAACGGTTCACCGGTGGCTTTGCAAGTGTTAGGAGGTAACCGAGCGGAGGACCTACAAGCGGAGGCTCGGGCCATGGCTCGTGCCGCCAATGCCTCTGTTTACAGCCCCGAACTTCTTGCTAAGAAGTACGGGTCACGACCCGTCCAGGTGATAATACACATTTGATTATATGATAAAATTGTTACGAAGAACGGAATTTTATAGGGTTTCGAGTTTTGTTAATGGGGAATGAAATTGGTTTTGATTAGGTAGTGAAAAGGACTTTGGAAATCTTGATAGCCTTGGGTTCTTTTGCTTTGAAACTATGGTTGGAGCAAAGGAATGGAACGCTGAATCAAAATAAGAGAAAACGAGCAGCTGAATTGAGGACCATCTTCACCAGGTTAGGCCCTACTTTTGTAAAATTGGGTCAGGGTTTATCCACTAGGCCTGACCTATGCCCACCCGAGTATCTTGAGGAGCTGGCTCGGCTGCAGGTAATTTTCTTTCATTTTCTTGGGGTTTTGCTCATTGGGTCGGTTTTGCTAAGTTAGCCTGATATGTTCCTAGGATTCTCTGCCTACATTTCCTGATGAAGAAGCATTCTCATGCATCGAAACAGAGTTGGGGATGCCGCTCGACTCCATTTTCTCTTTGATATCCGCTTCTCCTATTGCAGCTGCTAGTTTAGGCCAAGTCTACAAGGCTCAACTAAAGTATTCTAGCCAAACTGTTGCTGTCAAGGTGCAACGACCTGGTATTGAAGAAGTCATTGGACTTGATTTTTACCTCGTAAGAGGTCTAGGATTTTTCATCAATAAGTATGTTGACATCATCACCAGCGATGTTGTTGCCCTCATTGATGAATTTGCCCGTAGAGTTTATCAAGAGCTTAACTATGTTCAGGTTAGTGTTTTTCTTTCACCAATCTTATTACATTATTATGCATTTGGTTCCCACTTTTGTCTTCAAGAGCATCCTCAAACATCCTTCAACTTGTTTTTCTTTTATGTAATGTTTGGGAGATTATTTGGATTTAGTTTTTTATATAAATTGTGAGAATGAAATGCACATAATAGGGGGAAATTAGTTAACATTCAAATATACTTGTATATTTCAAAACCTTAGGGAAAGTTTGCGTGTGTATCTTTTCTGAATTTGTGAAATAGAAAAACAGAAAGAGGCTCACTTGTCTTATTATCTGTACCATTTTTGGGGGTATGAGTGTTAATTTTGACAGGTGCCTGCAGGAGGGACAGAATGCAAGGAAATTTAAGATGTTGTATGCTGACAAGGAGGATATCCTTGTTCCAGATATCTTTTGGAATTATACAAGTGGCCAAGTACTGACGATGGAGTGGATTGATGGAGTGAAACTGAATGAGCAAGCTGCCATTGAAAGTCAAGGTTTGAAGGTTTTGGATCTAGTAACCACAGGTATCCAATGCAGCCTCAGGCAGCTATTAGAGTATGGATATTTTCATGCGGATCCTCATCCTGGTAACCTTTTGGCAACACCTGGAGGAAAGCTTGCTTTTCTAGATTTTGGAATGATGAGTGAGACCCCAGAGGAAGCAAGATTTGCTATCATTGGTCATGTTGTCCACATGGTCAATCGGGATTATGAAGCTATGGCTCGTGATTACTATGCTCTAGATTTCTTGTCAGCTGATGTAGACGTTTCCCCAATTGTGCCAGCACTTCGGAACTTCTTTGATGATGCTCTTAATTACACTGTGAGCGAACTGAACTTCAAAACACTAGTTGATGGTTTGGGTGCTGTTTTATATCAATACCCGTTTAATGGTGAGATGATTTTTTCAATATACTTTTGAGCTCTATCATCAACTTTGGTTACCGTATGCTTATATAATGGAGTCTAATGCTTTGGTTTTTAATTTGCTTGCAGTACCTGCCTATTATGCACTGATATTGAGATCGCTTACTGTGCTAGAAGGATTAGCCCTTTATGCTGATCCTAATTTTAAGGTGCTGGCCGCCTCATATCCATACTTCGCTAAAAGGCTACTCACAGATCCAAATCCATATTTGAGGGATGCTCTTATAGAGTTGCTTTTTAAGGATGGGAGGTTTAGGCATGTATTTTCTAACCTAATGATTTAATACATCCTCTCTTTCTCTGTGCATTTGATTTGATGAAATATGTACCTGAAATACCTGCTTGTGATAGGTGGAATAGACTAGAAAATCTTCTTGTTCAGGGAAGAAAGGACCGAGATTTCTCTGCCAAAGATGCTTTGCAACCTGTTTTAAAGCTACTATTAGCACCAGATGGTGAAGAACTAAGAACTTTGGTAATTAAAGAGGCTGTTCGTGTCACTGAAGCTGTTGCTCTGGGCACAGCTATTGATACATACAACTCTGTACCCTCTTTTATGCGTACTCTGATGTTCAATGGAAATGGAAGTGGAGCACTTGCAATGAGCACTGCTGAAATGGAAAGCATGATGGAGTTTCGGGCCCAGGTCTTTAGAATTTGGGGGCTACTACGTTCCTCTGAAAATTTTGATCCAGCACTTTTGCAGCCTATTTTACAAGTAAGTAAACCTTATTGTGGTATAACTTGGCTACTACAGCAGAAACAAATATTCAAAAACAGACAAGTGCATAGAAGCCATAATTGATGCAACAATGTTACGTTCTATTGTTAAAATTTATCTTTTTGGGTTTTAATGTCTTTGCCAGTTCTTTTTTTAAAAATATTTTGGATGGTTGAGATATATATATATATATATATATATATATATATATGCACACTTTATTTGATGGCTAGGATGATAGTAAAATTCTGTAAGATGATCAGACTTAATTCTCAGCTCTTATACATTTTTTATATCTAGTTAAGTATGGATGACCACTACAAAAAATGGCTGCCCAAAGATTCTAAGATCAAATTGGGAAATACTTGTCTTCCTTATCATGAAGCGAACCCTTTTTCATGGTTCTGGAAGAGGCAGGTATATATTTTGAGAATGATTACTATAATATGTTTACTACTTGCTAGTAAGAGGATTTTACTGAGTATGAATTGAGCAGCTAAGCTGTTGCGGACTGTGGATTACTGGAACTGATTCATAGTTTAGAAGTCCATGCCTTAGTGACTATGGAAAATCCGCAATCCGAGAACTATTTTTGTGAACTCCAGAGACTGCCTTTCTATGTATTAATATATTTTTGTAATTTCATCAAGATGTCTTGTAAGATCTAATTTTTCAGAAAAAATAAATTGCAATCATTCTTAAGTATTAACTGATACTTTAAAAAGCCCAAAAGAAGCCATGGAGAGTTCATGCTGCAGTTGAATGAGGAACTAACTCTTGGATGTTGCATTTGGCCCAAACCATTTCTTTACGCAACTACAATTTTCAATGGAGCTGGCTAATGAAGGTTTCTTGAGCAGGTCCTTCAACAACCCGAGGCACGCAGTCTAGGGGAGCGTGTAGTTGGTGGGATCACTCAGCGTTTTGCAGCTCGCCTACTGCAACAAGTTCTTCGAACTCCAGCAGTTCCTACTTCAAGTTTATGAGCATTGGACTTCGGGTAAGCTGATAATTGTATGTTGTACACCTGAAAATCTACAATCACTCTTTTTCTTGTTAGTTATTCAACTAAAAGGAATGACATTAGAAAAATCATAGCAAAAAGAGTACACCTTTTCGAAATGTATCCTTTTATCAAATGAAAAGCACGAGCTTGTTATCAAATTAGTAAGGTTATATAACCTTTTCCAAACTGTTTCCCTTTAATCAATTTACAGGGACACTTGAGCATTTGATTCAACTGTAGATACATCTATCCTCCTATTCAAAGAGTGGGGTTTGGATTTCCCCTTCTCTCAAATATATAAAAGAAATTTACAGGAAAGTGAAGATATTCAAGAAATTCAACCTCCATTTAAAAAAAAAAATTATTTAGTTCAATGATAGGTGCATATATTCCATTGCTTGAAGAGCAAGGTTCGGATCTCACTTCTCCCAAAAAGAAAAAAAAAGAACAATTCACTGATATTCACAGAAATTCAACATCCTATGGTGTTCAATATGTTAGTTTTTTGGACGGTGTTGTTTGTTTGTCATTTTATGTTGCTTTAATTTCTGTTGAAAGAAGTGTATAAAGCCCAAAGACAACCTTGAGTCTAGGGAAAGTTCTGCAAAATGCTCCTAACATTGGTATATTAGTATCATTCATTCATTCATTTCCTAAATATCAATTTTAGTGTGTGTGTGTGTGTGTGTACACACACACACACACACACACACACATACATAAACTGAAACTCTAGTAGTTATTTCAACACTAACTTATGTTGTATCAGAAGACCTTCAAAAACTGGCTCTAATAATTTTTTTGCCCAGACATCAACAGTAGATGCAAACAAAAGGAATGGGAAGCAACAGCAGACCAGACCTTCATCATACACCCATATTGGGATTGTCAGAAATCCTTTCATTCAAGGACCTTCAGCTTCAGGATGAGACAATTTTAATCAATTTATCGATGATAATGCAAGATAATACAAATACATGAATCACAATAACCCTGCCTTGGCTATTGCCAAAAATGAATGATCAGGTCAATCAGCTAAAAGACATCAAACAACAGCATTCATAATAGCGTTTTATATCATTGAAATGAAGTGTAATTTCTAGAATTTCTGATACTTTGTTACACTCAAGCATTCAGCAAATAATTGATCCTGATGCAGCTATAAATCACACCAGAATACTTTTAGAAACAAATAATATGTTTTAGTCAATTCCAGAATAACAATCATGAATCAATGCAACAGCAACTCGTTCTCACAAGCAGGCCTGAAAAAGTGCCAGCTTGAATCATGAAAAGCTGCAAAATAATCATCTGAAACTGTCTTGATTCTGACTTCATCCGTGAACGTTCGAGCAGCTAAGATGTGTGTGACCGACTCAACAATAGAAGAGTCCATAAATGACACTTCCTGATCATAGTACTTAAATGACACATGCTGCTCATAAGTCTCAAAGCTATTTCCAAACAATGCTACCCGATTTAATGACTCGACTCCCCAATTTGCCTGCAAAAGATTGTTGTATAACTCTGCTTCACAATGTGGCATGAAGAAAAGTGTTGGCTTCTTAGCTTGCCGGCGCCCTTGCTCATTTACAGACAAAACGGAACAGCCAAGGGATTCTAAAACCTGAGACTCAGTTGCAGATAGAACTGGATCAAACACCTCTATATCCCCAATCCAACTGAACTTTCTTTTCATCAAAACTGCAAGGCTAAGCTGAAGTCGAGGAGTTTCATGAGACTCAATGCTGCCAATACCAAATATCACCATCTGCAGTCTCAACTCAGATCCCAAAACCCTGTGAAAATGATCCAAGACTTCTGGACTTTCCATTTGATCCAAGAAGGTCAGAAAAAAACTAGAGTTTTCAATTCTCTTCAAACAGATTTGTATCTTGTGCATAAGCTTTGATTGCCTCTTACGATCAACTTCAAGATCGGTTGGAACCCACGGCTGTTGCTCTTGTTGTTGTCCTTTTGTTATTTTCATTTTTTGGGAATTCCTTCTATGTCTACCCTTTCGGGGTAAAACAATTGTCCACTCTCCATTTTGAGTATGATTCTCAGGGGTGAGAACTTTTGCAGAAGCAATCATTTGCAAAACAAGGATTCTCTTTGTCTCCTACAATCCAAAACCGCTTTTTTCCCAAAAACAATCAAGTACAACCACAGTTAAATCCTGGGGAGTAGCGGCTAGTGCAGGACACAACATCAACTGTTGGCAAAGCTTTTCTTCCCAATTGTGACAGATATTGTACCTATTATCAACATAGAATATTAAATCAGATTATCATTATTTTAAAAATAGTATCTTAAATCATATGTGAATATAGACATTTACTGGGAGGAAAAAAACACAAATACACAGGAAAGACTTGCTTGCTCGCACACATTCCAAAAGTAGAATTACATTCTATCAATTTTCATTTTTGTTCTTCTCCAAATTGATTTACAGAGTGCAGAAGCTGCCCATCTTGCATGCAAATACTAATAGATTAAATATTTTCACTGCCGCTATGAGATGATGAGTATATATGCACATCAAAAACAGGTTACAAGTCCACAATAGATTAAATATGTTCAATGCCACTAGGAGATGAGTATACATGCACACAACAAGTAGGTTATGGATATATTAAATCGAGAAGAGCAGCTTCTTTTTATTTAAAAAAAATGATTATGCAACCAGTTTATTAGTGGACATCTCCAAATAGTTACTGCATTTAAAATTGTGTTATTACTAAACACCTTGAAAAATGGGTTGCTTCAAGTCTTTTCAAGTAATAAGGTTTTAAAAATGAGATATTGAAGACCCATCGTTGAGTATGGAACAACAAAAAGCAATTTTATTTCCGCTAACATGCAAATCTTTTACTTGTTATTTCTATCTGATCCAAAAAAAAATTGAAAATCATTAGCAAAAGCTACTAATGCAAAGTTACAAATACACTCATTGGAATTTTATATCTCTAGCCCTCTATTCAGCACCATATAACCGACTCAAAAGATACGAATCAAAAGGAAAATTTCAAATGATATTTGATAAATAAGTATCATTACAAGAACCAGTTTCATGCCAAAATATGGGAAAATCCTGAACTAATCCCTGGTAAACAAGCAGCAGAGTAACAAAAGCTAAATACTTCAAAAAGGTCAAAAAAACAGGTTCACTAGAAACTACAAGAGTAAAACATAGGCTCAACAAAAAAATTCAAGTTATGTCCCTCCCAAGGTGTGTTTAATCACTCTAGCTTAAAATTATCTCTTTGCTTGAGAATTATTATGAAAGCTATGTTTTTTTCCCTCTATAAATAAATTTCACTGTTCAAGAGAAAAAGAAATGGAATACTTCAAGCAATGAGCTTCCATAAAAAAATATATATCTTCAGTTGAAAATAATTTCCAGAAAAGAAACCAATTTCAGTTGTAACTCATCAAAAACTATTTTCCTATGTTTGGATTCAATGGAAAATACCTAAAATTTATAAATGGCCAAAGCAAAAAAATTCATAAATCATATATGCCCAAAGCAAATGAATTCATAAATCCCCACAATTTCTGATCAAATTAATCAAAACCCAAAGATAATATTCAAATTTATGAACAAATTTTGAAAAAAATAAAAGGAAAAAATGAGGCAAAAATGAAGCAATTTTCATGGTTACCAAAAGACTACATTTTTAACTTGTACTGTTTCAAAACCAATAATTGAAGAGCTAAAATAAAAACTACCCATGAATTTCCACTAAATAAAGACAAACAAAGAAAACCATCTACCATAATCAAATCATAAGCCCAAAAAATAACTAAATTCAGCAAAAAAAATGAATATAAAGCCATCAAAACTCTTTACCCAAATCAGAGACTCAAATTCATGAACAAAAGAAAAAGAAAAAAAGGGTCATACCCGTCTAATAAATTGGATGAAAGGTTAAGTAAGAAGCAGGTTTTACAAAGTAGCCTCCTCCTACTCAATCTCGCAGGTCTTTTTGAATTTCGATTTGGCCAGATTTGAAGGAGCAGTGAACGATGGATTTTTTCCCAAATCGGATTTTTTTAATTCAAGGAGGAGCAGTAAGTTAATAGACGGAGGCTGTCCATTTCTCTGATTAATCATTGGCTGCTTCCGAAACCCCAACTTTTTCCTTTCACATGGACTTTATTTTTTTTTTTAAATTATCTTTAGCTAAAATTATTTAATTATTTTTTTAATTTAAAATTTTTTAGCTAAACAGATTTGGTAAGTTGCGATTTTTATATTCGGTAAGATATATTTAGGATCTAAAAAATCAGCTAAGAAAAAAAATTCTCATATTTTAAAAAGTTTTCACAACATTAGAAAGAAAAAAATAATTTATTTTAAATAACTATGAATTCATTTATAAATTGATAGAAAAAATTATGCATTGATTTTTAATTTTTTTTTAAAATTTAAACAATTTTAAAATTTTAAAATCTTTAAAATAAGTGAATTCAAAAACTTTTTAAAATTTTCAGACTTATACATTCAAAATTTAAAAAGTAAGAAAATGTTTGAGAAAAAATGATTAAATAATTTATTTAAAAATAAATTTAAAAAAGTGTAAAGAGTAAAAAAAATATTTACTAATTAAGATTTTATCGAACTTAAATTAAATTTTGATTAAATTTAAATTAAACTTTTAGTACTAAATTTCAAGTTAAATTTAAATTTTTTATTATATTAATTAGATTTGGCTCAATTACATTTTTAATTTAGATCGTAGTTAATAGGATTTAGATAAAACAGTGACCCGTTGTTGGGTTTTGATTTTTTTTTTTTAGAATTTTTGGTTTTGAATTAATTGATTTGCATCATTGGAGTCAAATAATAATATTTTAAAATATTATAAAAAGGTTATAAATTATATCAATACTTTAGGTAATTATATAAATTAAAAATTAACATAAGAATTAAAATTATGCATTGTCATTTAAAAATAAAAAAAATTACAAATATATATTTTTATTTTTTGGCATTTTAAAATGAATTTTTATTTTTTAAAAATGATTAAAGAATTAATAATTATATTAATTTATATAATTAAATCCTTTTGAATCCTTTTTTTAAGAAACAGAATCATTATTTTTTTAAAAAATCTGACAAACATGCATATGATATAAATTAATATTTAATCGATCCATTTTAACATTTGTTAAAACAATGAACAAAAAATAAAAATAAAAAATTTCTTTCAATGGCCCTTACAATTTAAATAAAAACTTAAACATTTAATTTAATTTAATCAATATTAATGGTGATAACGAGTAGGATTGGGTGAGTTTTATTCACTTCGAACTCAACTTAATTTTATATATATAATTTAAATTTGACTTGATTCGATGATTTTTTTAATTTTTTTAACTCAATATTCGATTGATATTGTATAAAATTATATCTGATTTGATATCGAAATTAATAAAATATTATTTTTAATATAAATATAAAATTAAATAATTAATTAAAAAATAATTTTTTATATATTAAATTAAGTCAAGTTGAGTTTACCAAAAATTCAACATGATTTTTTTTTTTATTATTCAATCCGACGCTCAATTTTAAAAAAAATTAATCTTAAAAAAATTAAATCAAATCAAAATCTACTGAATTCGGATTAACCTACTCTCTCTCTAATCAACATTCATATCATTTAAACTAACACTCAGTTAGCTTATTTTTAACATTTATTAAATAAGCAGTTTCCAAAAAGTTTTATTTAAGTTAAGCCCAGGCAATGCACCCACAAATTCTTTTTATTTCCTTTTTCTTTCATAATAAGTGTGTATGGAATTCCTTTAGAATATACGAAAACCAAACCAATATTATGGCGGACACTAATCATGACAGCTGATCTTCCATTGACTGAACTGGATGTTATCCAATAAAAATATTCCACGTGTCCTAAAATTTATTGACGGATCAAGGATCCAAGGAAAATCTAAATTCACCCATGGTTTATGAAAATAATTACAACTTTTACCCTTACACGGATATATCTATGTACATACAGTACCAGAAGAAAACTCTCATCTTTCATCGAGTTTTTGCTGCGTTTTTCATCGAGATTTTGTTGGGTTTTTTCCTTCAGAAAGAAGCTACCATTCTCATTTGATTCTCAGGTTTTGGTTTTTTTTTTTTATTGATTCATACTATTTGATTTCAGTTGGGTTTCCTTTTGTTTTTCGTTTTCCTTAAACGAGAGATGGGTAATGGGGAGGTGAATCCTGATAAGCCTTCGAGGAAAATAAAGAGGCGTAATGGTGTTTCTGTCGCTGTTGTAAGTCAAAACCCTCCTACAAAGGGTTCGAAAATAGGTTGTATGAAGGGGAAAGGAGGACCTGAAAACCGGAGTCGCAAGTATAGAGGCGTCAGGCAGAGAACTTCGGGTAAATGGGTGGCCGAAATTCGAGCAGCTAATGCTAGTAGGCTTTGGCTTGGTACTTTTCCTACTGCTGCCGAAGCCGCCTCGGCTTATGATGAAGATGCTAGGGTCATGTACGGTGATTCTGCAATCCTGAATTTCCCACATGTTCGTTTGGGTTGTTTATCTTCAAGGGAAACAAAATCGGACGCGGTTTCATCGGTGGCATCAAACCTGATTGAGGAAACTCCTTTAACAGTGGACGATGAGACCCAAGATCTCAGTCTTAGTTGGGATGAAAAATGTGATACTGATGTGAATATCATACCTAATAACGCGCTGATTGTACCTGAATCAGGAACTGAAGATGTCCATTTGAAGGACTCAGATTTTAGTTGGCTTGATGGGCTGGATTTGGATGAATTGCGTGGCTGGAATGGTGGATTGGAACCTGCAGATGGTAATAATTGTTCAAAGCAACTTTCCTTAGTTGCTACTCTTTCTGATGGAGGTGAATCTGGAAGGAATACTTTGTTTGCTAGTGATACTGAATCACCATCAACAAGTGGGAAGCTAAGGGAAGAGAATCAAATTCAAGATTGCAGGGCTGATTGTGAATGTGATGACATGTGTGATATCACATCTGCAGTAAATAAGGAGCTGATTATACCAGAATTAGGAATTGAAGATGACCGGCTTGATGGGCTGAGTTTAGATGAAATCAGTGGCCTGAATAATGGTGGATTAGAACCTGCAGAGGACGACAAGTATGATACCACATTTGGGGTAAATAAGAAGCTGATTATACCAGAATCAGGTGCTGAAGATGACCCTTCTAAGGGCTTAGAGTTTAACCGGCTTGATGGACTGGATTTAGATGAAATCAGTGGCTGGGATAATGGTGGATTAGAAGCTGCATGCAATGACAAGTATGATACCACATTTGGGGTAAACAAGAAGCTGATGATACCAGAATCAGGTACTGAAGACGACCCTTTGAAGGACTCAGAATTTAACTGGCTTGATGGACTGGATTTAGATGAAATCAGTGGCTTGAACAATGCTGGATTGGACCTTTTGAATGAAGGTGAATCTAGAATGAATCTGCTTGTTAGTGATACTGAAATGGTACAGTGAAACCGAGAGAAGGGATCAAAATGCAAGATGGCAGAGATACTTGGGAATGGGATGACAATCAGGAGCTGATATCAGAATTTTTGTTTATTATTTTAAGAATACGGTACAAAAATATTTGCTGTAATGCTGTTAGTATTGGCTTGAGTGACCAAGATTTGGAAATAGAATTGACTGACACACATAAGAATGAAGTGTGGTAAATGTAATCTATCAGATTTCTTCTATATATCAAACTGATTCAGTCAATTATTAGATTAATAAATCTCAATTTTTAATATGTGATATTATATGGGCATTGTCGTAAATATAAAAGTTAGATATCAATTTTTAAGTTGAAATAAAATTGGAAGGCATTTTAATTTATTTTAACAAAAATATTTAACAGGAAGGCATCATTGATATATAAATAATATAGTATATAATACGATAATATATTATAATTAAATATAATAATATTATTTATAAAATTATTTATGAATCGAGTCAAATTCGATTAACACTTTTAAAAATTTATTAAAATTCGATTTGATTTGTTCATTAAAATTAATTAAAATTAATTATTTTTAATATTAACAATATTATTATATTAATATTTTAAAATTAAATTTAAATAAAAATTAATTTAACGATAGAACATTTCTTTGTGATGGTCAACTTGAAAAAACTTACTCATCGTGTAACTGGACTCAAGGGCTAGTCTAAAAGTTTGCTTAATATCACAATTACAAAAGGCTTTTGAATTTTTATCTGCTTAAATTCTAAAAAGAAAAGTATTATTAACATTCAACTATTTAGCAATATTTGATTCGTTCGATTGTTGTTTAAATTTTATTATATTTAATTTTATTTTAATATTTATTTGATACAGTTCAGTTTATAATATGAAATTAAAATTATTTGAATCAAATTTTATTATTTATATTATTTTTATATTTATAAAATAAAAATATTTTTATTCATAAATTTAAGCAAATATTTTTAAATAATCATATATTTAAGTTTTGATTTAAATTCTATATATATTATATCTAATTTCAGTTCAACTTTTACACAATTAAATACTTTTTATTAATCAAAATTTTATTTTAAAATCGATTCGAACCAAACTATTATCGACATAAATTTTTTTTAGAACACACAGTTGTACGGATTTCTTAATTTTGATCAATTGTTTTCCATGGATGAAAATGTTACCGGGTTGACCCGTTTGGTTATATAATAAATGAATCATAAACCATTTACATAAATGGGTCAAAAACAGAAAGAATGATTTTTTTTTGGATATTTTTCTAACTAAAAAATAATACTTTTTTTATTGTGACCAAAAAAAAAAACACTCACTTTACACTCCCTTCCTGGTTCGCAAATCTACAAAAATTAGGGTTTAGGGTTTTTATCCAGTGCACTGCAAATCCACTCACTGCAATTCTTAACCGCTCCACGGTTTAGGCCTTTGCTCTGGGATTTTCACAATGATGTACGGTGATCCACAGCAGCAGCAGAACGCGCCGCAGTCGCAAGGTGGGGAGTTCCAGAGAGGTCCTCCGCTAATAATGCGGCAGCCGTCAGCTTCTTCGACTACTCTTAACTCAGATTATCACTACCCTGCTCCTCATCAGGTTCCGCCTTATGACGGTATAATAACAATTCTCAATCTCGTTTGTTTACAATTTTGTATTTTTTTTTTTCAGTTCAAATTGTTGGGCATTGAATAAATTCTATTGAAAAATAGTTATTTAATTCTTGAAATTCAAAGGTTAGGTGATTGCATACCTGAAACACATCTGGAAATTGGTAAAAAAAGGGGAAATTGCACTTAAGGTTGAGAGGCTTCACACTTAGGTTAGGGTTTCTTTAAAGATTCCTAAAGAAAGCATAATTGCTGCTGGAATTCTAGCAAACAAGTTATTCAGGTTCCGTTTAATTGGTGCTTTGCTACTTGCTTTTTGTTTCTGGAAGCGAAAAATGCAAAAAAGTGCATTTCCATACAAAAGAAAATAACATTTTTGAAATAGTTTAGATAAAATATGTAATTATTTTTAGATAAAAAATACATGATTTACATCTATAGTGAATAATTACATTATACTTGCTGTGTGATTTTAATTAATTATTATGACTGTTTTTAGCTTTTGCTTTAGCAAATTTTCTAGAAGCAAAATACCAGTTGTAAAAGCCAGGTACCAAAAGCATTAGCCAAATGGAGCTTAAATTGAAGAAGATTACAAGTGAACATGTAAATTTCTAAGAATCGAAGTCCTATGGAGCAGTCAAGATCAAATATGGGCAACTGCCAAAATTGTCATGAAATAATTCCTAAACCTTAAAAGTGCAGAAATAAGACCCTGGGACTTAAATTTTGCAAATTCCAGCTAATATTCAACCTTGGTTCTTAGAACTTAAGAAAATGAAAGTCAAATAAATCAGTAGCCTTCTATACTTAAAAAAAACGTATAACAAGACCTTGTTATATGGTTAATGTCTATTTATCTTTGGTAAGACACCATATAAGTCCAATATTAAAGAAAAACCACAACTTTGGATTTTCTTTTTTACATAATCTCCAATTTTAACAATATTTGCTTGATCTTTCCTTAGCTGCCGGTTGTTGGCATTAAAAGGCAATGCTAGAATCTTTCCTTCTTCATTTATGTGTGTGTCTCAGTCAAAATTAGTGATTACAAAAGTCTAGGAAACTTTGTCTACCAAATCGATGTGTGAGGATATTTGAAGTTCTTATATTATAGGCTTTTATTGCAGTTTGCTGCTCATGGTTGTAAGCCTCATGGATTTACACTTTGAGGTTCCTTTTGCACCATGAGCCTTGTCTTATGGTAAGCCTCTAGGTCTAAAACTATGGCTACTGCATGTTTAGAGGATGAGTTGCAATTCACTTGAAATTAGGCTATCTGAAGTTTAGTTGTTCTGAAAGATTCTCCTATTTTTTTAAATATTTTTTTCAGCTCACGGTGATAATTTTGCTGCCAAAAGAATGAGAAAGCTGACCCAAAGGAGGGCTGTTGATTATACGAGCACTGTTGTGCGATATATGCAGGTAACTTTTAAAATTTGACGGTCATTTTCATATGCTTCTTGGTATATCTTTATTTTAGTGGTCGCATGATCAGATTGATGGGTCTCAATTGCACAAATTCTTATGTTAGTTGTTGGATGGCTTATATGTCGCTTATATCATCATTATGATTGATGTTTTTCCTTTTTACCAACATCGTCATTGATTTCTCTGTGTAGAAATCTGCCTGCTTTTTCTTCCTTAAATTTTTGCTCAAGTTCATTATTGAATTTGCTTGATGTTTGAAACTTAAAGTTTATAAAGCTCTCTGACACTATTCTTATCCAGAACTCTACTTCTATGATAGCTTAAGATATCACCTATGAAGTTGTGTTTCGCTGTTTTCTACTGGTGCTGGGGAATCCATCTTAATATAGAGGCAAAAGATCTTAGGTTTGCTTCAATGTTATTCATGTATGGTGTTCAGCTGTGCCTTTTTGTGCTTCATGGGGACAATATTAAGTTGATGCTTATGTTTTTGCTAGTTGCTTGTAGCTAGCTCCCTTTTCTTACTTTTTTGGACCAATATCAACCAAATACACCTATCATCCCTATTCAATTCATAATTCATGAGTAGCTCCTATAAATATAGAGAAGATTATGAATATCTCAACTATTGTTGTTATTATATCCATGTTTATTTTGTTTGATATGCATATTCTCTTCTATGGATACCAAACTTGATCTTTTTTCCCCTTTTGCTGCCTTTTATTACTTTTTGGACTAATATCAACCAACTACACCTATCATCACTATTCAATTCATGAGTAGATCCTACAAATACAGATAAGATCATGAGTATCTCAACCATAGTTGTTATTATATCTGTGTTTATTTTGTTTGACGTACATGTTCTCTTCTCCGATACCAAACTCAATCTTTATTTTTCCTTTTGAACCTCAAATGGAGTTTGATCTACTTGTAGTCTAATATCAATGGTTCTGCAGATTCGTATGTGGCAGCGGGATTCACGGGACAGGACAATATTGCAGCCTACTCCAGCAGCAGCAATTGATGTTAGTGAACACGCTCTATCTTTGTTCTCTTGTTTCCTGGATTGTGAATTTTCCGATATAAACATGTGTAATCTGTTGATCCTTCATGCAGGTGTTGCCTACAGCTGCCTATTTAGATAATCCATCCACAAGCTTTGCTGCCAAATTTGTTCATACATCTCTAAACAAAAACCGGTGTTCAATAAATCGCGTATTGGTAAGATAGATTAAAATCAATTTTCTATTGTTATCTTTTTCTGAGTGGCTTTTCTTTCATATTGCTCTTTTCATCCTATTATGTTCCAGTAGTTGTGTGATTAATTGATGGTTTATATGGAGGAAGCTGTTTGACCCCTTCTTATCTGCTAATAATTGCCCAAAATTGACTTGTCATCTGACTTTGGGGCTGAATTTTTTAAGTTAAAAGGCTCCATACCTAGCTTTTCCAATGCTAGAAATGACAACCTTTGTTGTCTTAATATGTTTAATGTGATTAAATACCCATCCAATCAAATTAACTTCTAAAACTTTTTTATCCAACAATTTGAAAATAAAGGAGTCTGTCAACAGTAGCATGTCAGATGGATGCAAAAACATCCAACTTACGTATTTTTATTTTTTATCCGCAGCTTACTGTTAGGTGCAGTAGATAGTGAGACCTAATAAAAGCCACCTTTTTTTTTTATATTTACATGTTTGCATGTCTTTCCTCTTGATATTTTATTCATGATGACAGCTGACCCTATGTCGTGGAAAAAACTTAGCTTGTTATTATTGCTGTTGGGACCATATGTCTCTTCGGAATTGCTTAGGACTTTATGTGCAGGAAGGAATTGGGTTCTTCTGTTGGTTTATCTGCTTTCACTAGAATAACGGAACCAATCACACCCCCCCCCCCCCCCCCCCCCCCCCCCCAAAAAAAAAAAAAAAAACCCCAAAGAGAAAAGAAAAAAGGTTTTTGTTTTAAGTTACCATATTAACTAAGCTGCTGTACTGATTTTTTTTTTTCTCATTTTAGTGGACTCCCACTGGTAGACGTCTCATCACAGGTTCTCAGAGTGGGGAATTTACTTTATGGAATGGACAATCATTTAATTTTGAAATGATTCTTCAGGTATATTTCAATTAATTGAGATGTTATCTTATTTAATTAGGATTATTCATTAGAGAATTAACATTGATGGCTTTTGGACCTTTTTTTTTCCTGTAAAATACTTAGGCCCATGATCAAGCCATCAGGTCTATGGTTTGGAGTCACAATGACAACTGGATGGTTTCTGGTGATGATGGGGGTGCAATAAAGTATATGTTCTTAATATTCTTTGGTGCTATTGAGCCTGGCTGCTTTCATGCTTGTAAATATTTGTTTGACATAGGCATATTTTTATGCTGATGTAAGTGTGTATGTGGGATTTACCTTTTAGGTACTGGCAGAATAACATGAATAATGTTAAGGCCAATAAATCTGCTCACAAAGAATCAGTTCGTGACTTAAGGTACCTATTTTGATTCTTTCTTTTCATGTAGTAGTTTTATCTGTATATAATTTATGATGTACTCTTTAAACAGTTTTTGTAGGACAGATTTAAAGTTTTGTTCCTGTTCTGATGATACTACTGTAAAAGTGTGGGACTTTGCCCGCTGCCAGGAGGAGCGTTCGTTAACTGGTAATGTTTCTCGACTGTTTATCAAGTATCAACTATCCTAGTTGGTGTTTTCTTGATGGCATACTGTTGATTACTCTACCTATTCTGCTTCATTTTTGCAGTTTTATTATAACACGTTTGTGCAAAATTATATAGTATCATTAATTACCTTTTGATAAAGCATTTCCATCTCTGACAAAGATCACCAAAATATGCATCATTTGGTTTCTTTAGCACCCTAAGAGTTTAGGCCAGTAAGTTCAAAACATACTATCATGTTATATATTTCTTACATGCATGAATTAACGTAAGAGTTCCATACATGGCTTGAACTCAGGCAGGCCATGGTTGGGATGTTAAAAGTGTTGATTGGCACCCTACAAAATCCTTACTGGTTTCAGGTATGTATCATGTTTAGTTTCCACCTTCTTTTTCATGATCTTTATGCAAGTTGTCTGCATAATGCCTTGGTTGACCTCTCTTTAGGTGGCAAAGACAACCTTGTGAAACTTTGGGATGCTAAGACAGGGAGAGAGCTTTGCTCATTGTGAGTACTTATCTTGGTGAAACTCATGGTATAGCTGACAATTTTGATTATTTTGAGAAGTAATGCAAGTTTTTTGCAGTCATGGCCATAAAAACACAGTACTTTGTGTCAAATGGAACCAAAATGGTAATTGGGTGATGACTGCTGGAAAGGATCAAATCATCAAGGTCAGCATCCTCTTTCTCTCTGCAAAGCTAGTATTTATTTGATGGGAGTACATATTGTTTTTTCTTTTGTCATATTCACCTTTCCCTTTTATATTTCCTTTCAGCTATATGACATCAGGGCTATGAAGGAACTTGAATCCTTCCGAGGCCACAGGAAGGATGTGACTGGTTAGTCAGACTTATTCTAAGTGGACCCCTTGTGTATGGATATTGCTTAAAATTCCTGACCCATCAAATATTTGCTTGACTGTAGTTTTTTATTCACCATTGAGATATAGCTCTTGAGAGACTGGGTTGATTGGGGTTTATAGTTATTATTATGGTTGATCATTTCATTCTCTTCTTGCATGACTTCTATAAGGATGATTCTTAAACATAGTGATTTCCAATTTTGCCAGCATTGGCTTGGCATCCATTCCATGAAGAATACTTTGTCAGTGGGAGTTTTGATGGATCCATTTTCCATTGGGTTGTTGGGTAAGTTTCTGATTCAGAGTACTGGCTGCATCACCGAATTTTCTCGTTTTGATCTTTCCTTTATACTCCAGGTCACAAAACTTGTGTGCTTTTATATGTTTTACTTCTACCTGGGATATTTGTCTCTTGAAAAATATATTTAGGGTGGACTATTAAGTTCGTTTATGACAAGACCAATTAGGAGAGACATCAAAACATAAGAAAAGTTTGCAGTTTATAGACCTTGATGAGATTAAACACTTTCACTAAAATAAACTTTGCTATCTTTTTTTTTGTTAGATTAATTTTAAATATTAAAAATGATTTTATGAAGTTCGCCTCTGAAACTCATCTGCTTACTATGTGCATGTAGTAGATTGATTATGCCCTTCAGTATCACAAATCTAACTTGGTTTTTCTTTCATTTCAAATATTAGTTATGTATTTGTTGCTGTTGTTTGGAATTAATGATGGATGAAGTTTTGTAACTTACAATTGCTAAAAATCATTCCGATGTACAGGCATGAAACTCCCCAGGTTGAAATTCCCAATGCACATGATAATAGCGTGTGGGATATTGCCTGGCATCCTATTGGATATCTCCTATGCAGGTAAACTCAGTATACTACTTTACAGTTATCTTGCATTTTTCTTGGTGATTTCCTTGTAGTTTATCATATCATTTTAAAAATTAAAATAGTTGTATGCATTACTATTCTTATTTCTCTTGATATGCTGGACTTTTTTTGACTGCTGGCAAGTGTTGGCTGTATATCATTTTTACTTTTTTGACATAGAAATTGAATGAAATTGTTTGAGAAAATCTGTAAATTATATGTCAAGCCCATCCTCAGGTGTTTAACTCACATACATAATTATGCAGTGGTAGCAATGATCATACGACAAAGTTTTGGTGCAGAAATAGACCTGGAGATACTGCTCGTGATAAATTTAACATGGGTCAGAACCAAGGTTTCTACTTATTGCCCTGCTCTACCAGTTTCACCTCTTCCCCATAATTTGGAAAAGGAAAGGAAAAAACGAAAAAGATATTTAAGCAGTTGTTTATTTTGTCAAATTTACCTGAATAATTCAGTTGTGATACTCATTGGATTTCATGCAAAACTCAATGTTGTTCTGTAAATATGCTGGAGTATTTACACCTTGATCTATAGTTCTATACTTAATAGCCCTATGAATTGTTTCTAGGCTATGGTGAACAAAACCCTGCATTAGCTGGTCGCATGCCTGGTAATTTTGCAGCACCTGAAGGCCCAACAACTCCAGGACCATTTGCTGCTGGTTTGACTCGAAATGAGGGAACGATTCCCGGTGTTGGAGTTCCGATGCCATTATTAGTTCCATCTCTTGATGCATCTTCTCAGGGGGACCAAAAGCAGCCTCTTCCAGGTTCCATGCCTTTTGGAGCTCCTCCTCTTCCTCCGGGACCACATCCATCTCTTCTTGTAGCCAATCAGCAGCACGGATATCAACAAAACCCTCAACAGATTCAACAACAGCAACAACAGGCAATGCAACAGCAAATACCTCCTATGCAAATGGCGCCTCCAAATATGCCACAGTTAATGCCCCTGCTTCCACATCCTCATTTACCACGCCCTCCACCCCAAATGCCTCCCCTTGGTATGCCTTCATCTGTCCCATCCTCAATGACAGGATCTTTACCTCCACCTTCATCAATGCCAACATCACATCAAATGCCAATGCCTGGTCCGATGGTATGACCTTTTACATAGCTCTACCGCATATTATTTCATTTTGTAACTATGGTTTTTGGTTTTAAATCATTAGGCTCCCATTACTTATAGTTAATGGAAGATGTTCTATTATCTATGGTTCATTTGCCCGGCTTGCTGCATACTTGGATAGCATGTATTTCTGTTGAAACTGGGCTTATGAATATGGATTATGGATGAACCTCTTGGTGTAAATTTGAAAATTATTCGATGTTTTGTTTGAAAAGTGGAATAGGAAAGAATTAATTGGAACAAATTATTCCATGTTTTGTTTAAGTCCATTATTTTATTGGAACAAATTTAAGAAGCTTGATCGAACTTTATTTCAAAATTTTAGGGTATTCAAGGTACAATGAATCAGATGCCTCCTCCGTTGCCACAAGGCCATTTTATGGGAATGAATCCACCATTGCATTCAGGATCCTTGCCAACCAGTGGTACCCCCTCAGTTGGAGGTTTTCCAAATAGTATGCAAAATATGCAGGGCCCAGCAAATGTGGGTGGAGGCCAAATGTATCCACAGGGTGGTGCATTCAATCGTGCACAGGGTGGGCAGATGCCAATGATGCCAGCGTTCAATCCTTACCAGGTAAATTGGGGAAGGTTCTTTGCTGTTGTAATGTCATTTGCTCTCCTTGATCTGTTCTGTGTTTGCCCCATATTTTATGTCAAAGGCTGGATTTGCAGCCAGAACCAGTGGTAGAACAACAATCAGAGCACTTAAATGGAACCAACTGGTAGCTAATTGAATAGCTCCCTCATTCCCTCTCTCTTTCTCAAAGCTTTCTTTTTTGCTATGGTAATAGGGGATAACTCCCCAAGTTTAAGCAGGAGCGAGGTTTGGACCCTGTCCCTGGTCAACCTCCTAAAGTGGGGGCCATGAGCCACAGGGCCAAAGCCTGCGGTTCCACTCAATGCTCTCATTGGTTATGGCGAAATGAAAAGCTTGATGAAAACTACTACATTCCTTCCAAATGCTTGCACTTTTGTTAAAACCAATTTGATTGAGTGTTTTTTACTCCATTTTGTCACTGAGAATAATCTAGGTATACTATTTCCTAAAGTATATGCAGCAACTCTTACGTTCGAAATTCCACCAATTTAAGCACTAGATTTTTTGTGTTTTACAATGTTGTGCATATTTGATTCTACAACCTGGGTTATATACACTAGAATTCTCCTGCATTTCATGCAGCCTTATTTGAGGCTTGTATTTAGGTATTTTACTTGAGTTTTTAAGAAACTAACTCGATATACTTCCACTTATTGCAGTTCTGGTGTCAGTTTGCATGCAGCTCACCAACCGGACTATGTCAATTGCAGTAGAGAAGGAAAGCATCTTATTTTTAAAATTATTAGATTTAAATTCCTGTTACTGCCAGATTGGAATAGATAGATATAAATTATTTATAATATTGATTAATTAATGATAATATGTTAATATTCAAAGATCTTTTTTATTGTTTTTATATTAAATAAATTTCTTATTAAATTATCAAATTTTTTGAAGAAAACAATCATTAATCATTAATTGCACTGCAGTAATAAATATAATTCTAATAATATTATTTGATGCAAAGTTATCTATTTATTTAAATTACAACTTGTGAAAGTTCACAAACTCTCATTAAAAAAATAAAAATCAACTTTAAATTTTATTTTCTAATTATAATTAATTAATCTTTTGATATATTTTATAAAATATAATATTTTTATTAAATCAAGATAAATAAAAATTTTATTAATATAATACGTATATAAATATAAAATTAAATAAATATTTTAAATATATAAGATTATATATATCGAAATTTATCAAATACAGAATTCACACATAAAAAGAAAATGACAAAAGAAAAAGTATGGAGTCAAAATGGTAAAATTTATGTAATGGATGTATGAATGGTTTATATCTTAATTATTATATATAATTATAACTTTTTTTTTTTCAAATAAATATATTAAATAATAACTTCATTAATATAATACATATATAAATATAAAATTAAATAAATATTTTAAAATATAATTTTATATAGATACTTGTGTAAGATGGAATATCCTAAATCTACCTCCAACTTGACATTGATCTTTGAAAAAAAAATTAATTCGGTCCTGAATAAAAAATGCATCTATAAGATCCAAATAAATCGAAATCAATCTAATACAAATCTTACATATAAAAAAAAAAAAAAAAGAGAAAAAAGAGAAAAATATACTTTTTTATTAATAATATCATATGGATCCCACACATAAATAATTTTAAAATATAAAAACATATTGACAAAATATTTAAAAAGATAAAAGAAAAAAATAACATGCATTGGAATGCCACACAGCAAGTCATAGAACTTTTGTATATATGCAAGATTTAAATTATAGAGTATAGACAAAGAAATGATGAAAAAAAAGAAAAAGTCAAATGGAAATGCTACATGAAGTTATTAAATTAAGATATTAAATAATAATTTTTTAATATAATATATATATATATATGTAAGTATAAAATTAAATGAATTATAAAATATATATTTATATAAGGAATTTAAAAAAAAACTAAAAGAAATAAAAATCAAATCTCATTGGGACGATGACATCTTCATAATATCTTTTTTTTTTAAATTATCAAATAAAAAATATTTTTAATTAATAACACTAAATGGGACAATAAAAAAATTTATAAAATATTAAAAATATTTCTTAAATATTAAAAACAAAACAAGAAAAAAAATTAAATAAAAAAGATAAAAAAAAAAAAAGAAAATTACTTGACACATAATTAGTGATGGCAACAGGTCAGGTCGAGGTGGGTTTTTGCTCGCCTCAAATTTGACCCGATTTTAAATATATAATACCCGAATCCGTACCCGACACGACAAAATTTTTTAGTTTTAATACCTGAATTTGATTCGATCCGCCCCGATCCGATATTGTATAAAATCAAATCTGACTCGACCGGACTTGAAATTAATAAAATATTATTTTAAATATAAATATAAAATTAAATATATATAAAATATATAAAATTAAAAAAATATATTTTTATATATATCAGGTTGGGTAGGGTCGGGTTTGCCTACAACCCGACCCTAATCCGAACCCGAAATTTTTTTATCCTACCCGATTCGATACTCAATTTAAAAAAAAAAAAAATTGACTCTAAGGGGTCGGGTCGGGTCGAAACCCGACGGGTTCAGATATTTTTGCCTTCCTGCACGTAATATACCTATTGTATAAAGTGGATTACATAAAAAATGTTAAAATATTTATTAGATATATCCAAAAAAGAAAAAAAACAAAGCAAGTGCCATAAGATTCATTAAACAAATTTTAAAAATATTTATAAACAAATTTAAAAAGGAAAAAAAAAAGAGAAAAAGATTGGTATAAAGTGGGTCTAACTTTAAAAAATTAAATCTAAAAAATATTTAATTTAAAAAAACCTTGAAAAGGAAAAAAAAATTCAAAAAAAAAAAATAAATAAAAAAAAAGGATGAGAGATCGCCACGTAACATCCCAACGAAGGGCATTCTTTGTCGTACATGAATCTCCACCTCTATGCAAGATTTAAAGTATAGACAAAAATTAATAAAAAAAGTCAAATAAAAATGATATATGAATTTATTAAATTAAGTATTAAATAATAATTTTATTAATATAATATTTATAAATATAAAATTAAAGAAATAATAAATATTTAAACCATGAGTTTTTTTTTTAAATTAAAATAAAAAAGCCAACAAAAATATATAAAAATCAAATCCATGACAATATCTCCATAATATAATTTTTTAAGAAACTATCAATTAAAAAAAATTAAGAAAAAATATACTTTTGATAATAACATCAAATAAGTCTAAAAATTAAAATATTAACAAAATTAAATATTTACAAAAGAAAAAAAATGTAAATAACAAAAAATTAAAAAATAACTTAAATGATTTGACAATGCATAATATAATATCAATTAGGCCATTTTTATATAAACATATAAGAATAAATACATAAATTTTTAATATCTGAATAAAGTAACTCAATTAAAAAAATAATAAAATTTTTTATAATTACAATTGAAAAAAATTATTGTAGCTGTAATTAAAACAAATTTAATAAAAATTTATGTTAATTTGATTTAATTAAAGTTGATGTTTGAATTCAATTAAAGTTGTAATAAATTTAGTCGCACCGCACCGAAAGTGCAGTGAGATCCAAATGGCTAATGAGTATCTCCAGTGCTACGTAAGTACAGCAGAACCAGGCTGCTGTGCTTTATCTTTACCATCAAGACCAAGCTGCAGCACCAGCATCTCCTCCTGCCATAATTCTGGAAAACCAAGCTGCCCTCCGTTGTAACCAAGCAGCCAGGCCCTGTCTTCAATAGAATCAAGCTGGAGTTCCTTCTTTTAATGTATCAATTTCTCCACTGATGAATGCTGGAGTTTCTGCTTGAAATTATATTCAACGAAACACTGCTTGATTTCCTTCAAGTATTCATCCACAGACAAAGGCTGCAATTACTCCTACTCTCCTGGTATTCCTGAAGGATGACAAAAACAAACTTTTCAGCAATGTTTGCAGCAAGCTCTGAATCCAGGAAGCAATGTTGCTGGCATAGCATCGGAAATCTCTAAAAAGAGAGGCCCTTGGAAGCGCTATGTGGTGGAAAAAATGAGTTTCCAGAAATGCTTAAGCATTTGGAACATCATCTGATCAAACGAATTCTAGCTAAGATTATAGATCAGGATGCCATTGTTAAGTGGGATGATATTGCGGGGCTTGAACATGCTAAAAATTGTGTGCATGAGACTGTTCTGTGGCCTGTACTAAATCCAAGAATCTTTCAAGGTGTCCATTCAATTGGAAAAGCCATATATAGCTGGAAAAATGAAAGCAACTTTTTTTTCATTAACAAGCCAGTGGCTTGGTGAAGGTGAAAACCTTGTTAGACCACTCTTTCGACTTGCCTGCCATTTACAACCTTCTGTTATTTTCCTTGATAACATAGACTCTATTCTGTTTAGGCGGTCATCAAGCACCAAGCACGAAGCCTTCAGGCGAGTTAAAAACACAGATTTTGGTTGAAATGGAAGGCATTGATTCCGGCAGTGACCAAATTATAGCCATTGGAGCAACAAATAGGCGTCAAGATCTCGATGAAGCAGCACGTAGGTGACTGAGTAAAAGACTCTATATTCCATTGCCTTGTAGTATTCGAGCCAGGTTACACATTGTTCTCAATACAATGAACAAGGGTGGACGATTTGTGCTTTCAAAACAGGAAATTGATCTCACATGCGACTTAACTGATGGATGTTCAGGATCAGACATGAAAAACTTAGTCAAGGAAGCTATGATTGGTCCAATTAGGGATGCAATTAGAGATGTTAAAAATGAGAAAGATATTCGCCAACTGCGGCCTGAGGATTTGAGGCCAGCGTCTCTTCATGATTTCAAAAACGCTTTGAAGGAGGTGAGGCCTTCTATTTCCCATCAGGAACTTGTTGCATATGTTAAATGGAATGCAAAATTTAGCAGCATGTCACTTTAGGGCTTTCGCCCTGTCTCTTAAGTTTAAACAAATTCCTAACATTCTTGCAACTATTTTTGTTGGAGTTTCATCCTTTTCTTAGCAATGATGTCAATAGTTTTCCAATTGGTACCTCCAATACATATATGAACTTGCCAGTGACTATAAGGAGTAACAAGAATCTGTAATCATAAATCAAACTCTCAAATTTACATTTCGGTATTTTTTTTTTAATATTTGAGGTTATAAGATACAAATCTGAAAATTAAAAATCTAATATTCTACTAATAGATCACACACGACCGTTGGCTAAAATTTTGATTTTATTAACATGTAGCATAAACAAAATCAAGATCTAGGTAACAAAAAAAAATACTTATAAAGATCAATCAACCAGATCGAGCATGGAATTAAACACTTTTAAAGTCTGTAAAAACCTTTTACAATCACTTTGATATCCTAAAAGAACAGGTATGGCCACATAGTGAGCATGTAGCTAAGTTTCATTTTATGTTAGAGGTTAGATTTCATCTTGTAGAGAACGAGCAGTGTCATCTGCAGCTATGAAACACACTGAGATACACAAGATTAGAGCCTTCCAAATCTCAAGGAACATTCTTGTTCGCATTGCCATACTAGTAAAGAAATCTTCAACTTTTGATTTTATCCGAAAAGATTGTTACAAATTCTTTGC